TTTTTTTACATATGTCTTCCTAAAGTAGTTGCTTCTTACAAATCATATGGATGATTACATAGCTACATCATCTATGTATTGTTCTACGGACTTTTTGAGTGACGTAATATATATAAAATTTTATTTTTGATTTTCGGCTATTACTATAATATACCCTACGGGAAGTTGCCACCGCACAAAAAATGTGGCAACGTTCTGGTGACAGACCACTAAAGGAACACGTAAACAAAAAGATACGCGACCAGCGACCAGCGGAACGAAGCTTGGAGTAAAAGACTGAAAAATATAAACACTGATCACCACAAAAGTTTGGCAAATAAAAGACTGAGACGGAAAGCAAGACCTATACCGCCACTTAAATTAGCTGACCTGAAAGCAGAACTATTGGCAATAAACTTTGCTAAAACTCTTGCTAAAACATCAACAAACAAAATGCCAATATGTCAAACATAGACATAAGACGAGACGTACACTAATTGAGTCAAAATATTAATAAATAATTTAACGACAAAGACTTACGTATAGACCCTGCAACAGTTTCTAAAATCAAAGCAATAATCAGACAACTACCAAACGGAAAAGCACCTGGAACGAACGGACTCCAAACCATTATACTTATACAACTACCGGCAAAATCAATAATACTACTGACCCAAATAACAAATAAAATAATGACGCAAGGCCATTTTTTTACTTTGTTGAAAACTTTCACCGTGTTTCCAATATTCAAACTAAGGAAACAGCAAGACGTACCGCAAAATTACAGACTTGCCTGCCTTCTCAGTTCAATGAGTGGAGAGATTGAAAAGTTACTGCTCAAACGACTAAATAGGCACATTCGACGCGACGAAATCATACCAGATACCCAATATGGATTTGAGAACCTACAACCAATATGGATTTCATGAATGGATAGACTACAGCACTCTACACTACACCTTTACATTTTTAAATTATCTAGATCACCCAGACTCCTGACCACAAAAATACAAGTGGCAAATCAAAATAAACCCACAGAAGAATGAGGCTATTTTGTTTACAAAGAGCTATAAGCCTGCTATACTGAGTTGAACAAAATAAAAGTAATGAGATACAAAGATGAATGGTCCAAGGATGTCAAACACCCTAGAGTGACCTTGGACCATAGACTCAAATTCGAGATGGTAAATATTCTAAGGCCTTTCTTAAATCGTAAAATTCTTAAAATCTCAATATTTCTATATATATTCTCTCTCTATTTATAATATAGTAATCATCTGCCTCTCATTCATGTCATCTTTTCCCTAAACTTCATTATTTAATACATTTTACTAACCCTTTCTATATAAAATATCTTTTATTCAAATTTATTAGCATATATATATTTTTTTTGATACTGCGCTTCTTCCTTTTTGCAGATCCACATTAGAATAACATTGACGCACAGGATTGATTCAAGTCTATTTTCTATCAGCAACTGTCAACATTGCATTTATTAATATTGATCTTTTAACGATGCCCAAACGAAGATATTAAATTGTGCATCTTATTCTGAAACATGCATTGATTATCTAAAATGTTTCAGTAGGTCTCAACTGAATATATCTAATTTTTCTTTTTATTCCAGACATGGGATGAACTCGGATCGCGTCACCTGCGGTTTCATGATTTCCGTTGTGTATATATATATATATATATATATATATATAATATTGTGTATATATATATTTTTTGTTCATATTTCATATTTTAAAATCCCAACAGCCCGCTGAGCGTGAAGAACAAGCAAACACTTAACATTAACACGACGATTACTGTTGTATGCCGCTTCAGCATGGAACGCAACAACAAAGACTAATCTACGGAAACATAAACTGTGACTGGGGCTATATAATCTCTACGACTAGTTCTTAGCAAATCAAGAAACCCACTGACGATACACTTTTACTCTACAAAATACATATATGAATAGACTGATGTACCGACAGTCTTCGACCAAGTAAAGAAGCTCACTAGAAATTTATACCTCAAATGTAGGCTTCACCTCAATAGTAGCATTCAAGCTCTTGAGCAATATACGCCAGAAATTGTTCGGTATGGTACACACGCCATGTCAAACTATATCCTAATCCATTCCATAGCACTTAGCGGCAAACATAATATTTCATTATGAACAAACACAATGTTTTTAATTTTTTTAACAGTATAATGATAATATTTGATAACTTTCTCAATCATTGAAATGTGGTGTTTCTCGGGGATTTGTTGACCATTTTCCTCTTTTTCACATATATTATAAATTATCTTGATATATTAATCAGCAATATGTATTCAATATTTATATAACATTGTCAGAGTATATAACCCTTAGGTAATAAACTCATATATATATATGTATATACAGGGTGCTTCAAAAAAATGTATACACACTTTGAACTTCCATAGAAAATTAATTTACTGTTCTACAAAGTTAAATTTTAGGAAAATAGAAAGCTGAAAGTCCAATGTAAATAAAACATAAATAACAAATGTTAATACTGTTTAAATTGGTGACCTGCAGCATCAATACAATTCTGAGAACGACTCACCACATCGTATCAAAACGTCCAATGAGACTTCTCTACACACTGCTTGAATCTCATTCCAAAGAATGTCTAGGTTACTTGGTTTATGTTTGTACACCTCATCTTTTACAGTGGTGCAAGAGAGAAGAAATCCAAATCCAACAAGAAGAAATCCAGTAGTGCAAGGTCTGGAGACTGGAGCGTGCTGGAAACTCAATTGCCCCCCTGCGTCCTATCCACTGGCCCAACTAATTTTGATCTAGGTAAGCTCGTACGTCCCTGTGATAGTGCGGGGCTAAATGATGCTACCCATAAATCCCGGTTCACGTATCACCATCTCCTGAATCCATTCACAAAATTGCAACCTTGTGATGTGCAGAATCAGTGGTGACTTGTACTCAGAATTGTATTGATGCTGCAGGTCACCAATGTGAACTGTATTAACATTTGTTATTAACTTCCCGTAGGGCAAGATATAG